ATTACTGCTATTTCTTGTGATAGGTCTGTTGTAATTTTCTATTTTTTTCTTGAGTATTTGGGTAATTTGTAGGAATTTGTCCATTTCATCTAGTTTATCTAATTTTTTGGCATATAGCTGTTGATAGTATTCTTGTCTTTTTTTTTTTTTTAATCTCTGTAGGGTTAGTGGTAACATCCCTACTTTCATTTCTGATATTAGTTATTTGTATTTTCTCTCTTTGTTAGTCTGGCCAAAGATTTTTAAATTGTTTATCCTGTTAAAAAACACACACACAATTTTGTCAATTATCTGTAGTTTTAATTTTGTTTACCTTTATTTAACTTGCTTTTCTTTGTCTAGTTTTTCATGGTTTAAAGTTTAGATTACTATTTTAAGATTTCTTTTTTTTTTAATTTGACATTCACAAATATAAAATTCCTTATAAACAATGCTTTATCTGTACTCCAGAAGTTTGGGCATGTTGTTCTTGTTTTTATTATTCTTAAAACATTTCTTTTCCTTTGATTTCTTTTTTCCCATTGGTTATTTGTAAGCAAGTTGTTTAATTTCTATATATTTGTGAATTTCCCCCAATATTCCTATTATTGATTTGTAATTTTATTTCATATAATGTAAGAACATATTTTGAATAATTACAATTTTAAATTTACTGTGATTTGTCTTATGGCCAAATTTATAATCTGTCAACATCTCCACATACTTGGAAAAAATATATATCTCTGTGTTGTTGAGTGTTTTTAGATGCATGTTAGGTCTGGTTGTTTTATAGAATTTTTAAAGTCTATTTCCATGTTGATCTTTTGATTTATCTCTATTGAAGCTTTATCTTTCTGTTCCTCAAACTAGATAATTTCAAGTGACTTATCAAGTTGAATGAGTCTCCTTACTAAATTTTTCATATTTATGATGGTACTTATTATATCCAGAACTTCTCTGTTCATTTAAAATATTTGTCTATTTTTATATTCTCTAGTTGTTGAGACTCTATACAAGTTTTTGAGTAAAAAATGCACCAGAACTTAGTGAATTTTGATAGTATAGGTCCTGGAAGCATGGATGTTTAGGTCTCCCAACAGTGAATGTGAACAGAGATAAAGGCCCAGGGCCCTCGATGTACAATTCGGCCTTGTTTCTTCCTAGTTAGTTGGGGCTCAGGACCAGCAGCAGGGGTATCGCCTGGAGCTGGTTAAAAATGTAGAATTTAATCCCTACCCTGATCCACCAAATCAAAAGCTGATTTCTATACCCTTAAAGTTTGAAAAGCAATGGGCAAAGGGCGTGCAATCCACACTTTCAGAGCCTCAAGGTACCACACACCATTATTTTCAGAATAGCAACTTGGCATTTACTTATATGACCTTGGTAAATGCCCATCTTCTTTAAATTGAAACCTCACACACAAAAAAGTCTTCTTTCTGTTGTATCCCAAAGGCAACTACAATTACTCTAAAATCTGTAAAAAAATAAATAAATAAGTAAAATGAATGGACTCTGGAATCTCATACTTATCTGCTGCCTCCAAACCCCAACCTCAAATAGGTTTCAAAAGAGGTTTAATATTTATTTTAATTTTTTGTCAATTACAGTTTATTTTCAATATTATTTTATACTGATTTCAGGTATACAGTAGTTAAACAGTCATATACTTTATAAAGTGTTCTCTCCAATATTCCCAGTATCCTCCTGGAACCATACATAACTATCATATTTAAAAAAATTTTTTAACATATTCAAAAAACAAAAGCTTTCTCAGATATCCTAAGAATGAGTAAGAAGCATCTCTGAAATAAGGGAACTTCAGTTTTTTCTTTACCCTTTGCTTAAAGTTTGTGTTTATTCAAAACTTAAGTGTCCTAGCTGCTAGTATTGAAAAGAAAGAATCTATTTAACCATATTCTCTATAATTTTTTAGAACAGATTTTTAACCTTGCATCTCATTAATTTTTCCTTTATAGTTTTCTCCTTTAGAAAAGGTTGTTGGGAATATGAGTAAAATGTCATAAATTAATAAAATCAACACTAGTAAAAAGGCTTTTCATATAATTTACATATATTTATATATTTATTTATAGCTTATACCACTTTTCCATTAAAAAAATTGAGGCAAATGTTTACAACTAATGAGATATAAGAAAACCAAAGCAATTTGCTAAAGTATGACATATGTTATATGAACTGATTACTTTCCCTATCCATGATGCTGAACAATGACCTCATATTTTATAACCTAGAAAGCATAATGTGGGCAATTATCTTTGTCCCCAATCAGCCAAGCAGTAAATACCCTCCCAATAAAAAATAACTCAAAACAATAAGAAATAAACAACCGGTATTATTAACAGTGTTTTTATTTACAAAGAATTATTTTTATTTGGCTGTTTGGAAAACCACTAACATTTTTTCACTTTAGAAAACATTAAATAATAAACAAGATGTTATACAGTACTTTGGATAACTTCTTCCATCAGTTTAGTGCAATGCATTATTGGCACCGAAAAGTGAAATTTTCAATTATTTTCCCCTTTCATTTTTAGTTGTGCAGTTATATGACCCAAAAGGAAAAGAATCATTGAGAAGAGCACTAAGGCCATATTTGCTGGCCCCTACCCAAAGGCTCACTGATTTATCCTCCCCTGCTGCCTGCCTCCACCAAGTTAAATGACAAAAGGTATTATAGGTATACTAGAATAGGCACACTATTATACCCATTGTTCAAGAAACCCATTACCATTGTGGAACTTGGGAGATTCAATTGATAAAGAGAAAGTGAGCTATACTAATTAGATGAAGGGAAAGACCTGGCAGTGGTGTCAGGCATGTGCTCTGTATCAGCAGCCAAGCTAAGTTGTCACACACATTGCAGAGAGAGTGCACCAGTTAAAGTCGCTGTAAACTATGTTCTTTGCTATGGTCTTTAAAAATCTGAAGTGTCAGCCACTGAGCAAGTGAAAGGGTTATATACCTTTTCCAAGAAAAAACAAAACAAAACAAAACAAAACACATTAGGACACAGAAATATTAAAACATCTGCCTATTATACTCTCTTTTTGGAATAATATATATATATATGTGTTTTTTTCTTTTTTGTTTTAATACTGCTAGGTTTTCCATAAAGGGAAAGCTCAGCATTTGGTGGGCTTGTCCCCTTTTGATTCCTCTCCATTAGAAGCCAAAGAGGGAAATGCCTAAATTAAGCCCTGGCCTGGTCCAAATTACTTCGTCTGGAGATTTTCACGACACAGTAATAGGAGCAAAACATATTTTGGGAGATTGTGTAATCTGTGACTCTTTCTTAAACATCCTTAACCACCTTAAATAGACAAAGTTTCATCTAACTTTTTAAAAGCCTCCAAGATAGAGACACTCCTTTATAAGGGATTTTCGGATTCTATTTTAACAACTGTCCCTGCCAGAAAGCGCTCCCTCATACGCTGGTCTAAGCCTGCTTCCTCTTGTTCTATTCTTAGTGCACTCGGAGAACAGCTGGCCACCATCCTCTCTGCACCAACCCTCCTCGCACTGGAAAACCAGCAATGGTTTGCCCCTCAGTCTTCTCTTCTCCAGGCTGAGTAATCCCAGTTCCTTTAATTTTTCATCACAGATCTTTTCCCCCCCACTCTTTCATCATCATTGTGATTCCTGGCAAAAACAGCAGAAAATATTTGATTGCTTAATCAGAAGTGAGGAAAAGTCTCAGTAGTAAGCTGCATTTTAAAAACGATATTCTTTTTAATATAAAGTTTAAAAAAAGCAAAGAGGAAAGATATTAGTTGGGGGTCCTTAGATCTCAGAATTCCAATCCTGTCTCATTGCTCTAGTGTGTGAGTCCTATTCCAACACATCTCTTTTCTCAAAGCCTCCACACCCATGCTGACACGGTAGCACATGAGCTGTGAGCTAGACCTGCCTATGTTTATACTGATTTAAAAATTAATATGAAATCTATACCAAGGGAGCTGCTCCCAGGCTTCTCCTCAGCCAGCTTCCATAAACAGAATCCTTCCTCTGAGACAGCCGGGACTTTCTCCCAGGTCTTGGAGATTAGCAAAGAGAACCGTGTTATCCTGGGGAAGCTGTCTGGCTTTAAGTGCAGTTTGAAACAGTGTGGGTTGCACTGGTATATGCTAATAGCAGTTTCCTACCTAACTTGTTTCCTCTCCTTTGTAGGGATCAAACTCAAGGTATTTAAAACATTCATCCCTCCACAGCCACCACCTGACACTGTTTCCACATTTCTCTTGCTCCCGATAAAAGGTCATAGGACTGGACAACATTTCACCGTGTATTTTTAATTCAAGAGATCACAAGCTGCCTTTTCCCTTGCAACTGGAGCCTGTGAATATCAGGAACACGCAACTGCGTCATATCAACAGCACATTTACACAAAACACAATACCACTAACGAGGAATTACGTGCCCCACTTGACATAATGGTCTTTAAAAGGAAAATACAGATAACAAGAATAAATGCATCTCGCTACATTACACACCCTTCTTTCGTAAAGTGAATGGCAGTAAGAGAGTTCAGGCCAGGCCGGAGCGAACAGTGAGGAGGAGAAACAAAGTTCACAAGCACATTGTACAGCGTATCTTAGGGGAGGTCAATACTACTCGTGGCACAGCACTGAACAGACAACAGAATGGCCATCTGCACACATTTCTTTTGAAAATGTCTCCCGTGCTTTGCGACAAGGAACACCTTGTCACCAGGATGAAGGATGGCCTAGGTCACCCGTGCGGAAGGCCAGCTCCTAAAAGAGCCACGGGATGTCGGCAGCACCCACAGACAGCTTGCACGTGTCTAACAAATGCCCCTTCTGTTTCAAAGGGAGTGTCACTGTCCATTGGGATTGCACAAGAGCAGGCCAACAAGAGGGGGCGGTCAAGAGCCAGGCTTTCTCTGACCCACTGACCCACTCTCCTAGGCCTGACGGAAAGGAGGAGAAGACAGGAGATGAAGATTAGAGGAAGAGGAGGGGCAACATCGGCATTGATTGCTAGTTGCGGAGTTGCTGGCGCTCTTCGTAGCAGTGGCCTCTTTTCAAGCTCACATCATCCAATCCAATCTCCCCGGTGTGGCCGCGCCTCTTTTCACCTTTGAAGATGACCTAGGGAGAGAACGCACACTCTGGTCAGGCCTCCTCCGCCCTTCCCCAGGCCTGCTCACTCAGCAGACAGAAGGCGAACTCCCCCCAGTTCTAAACAGTGAAGTTACTTCACGGAAGGAAAGACTAGAGAACAGGGTCACCCGAGGCCTTTGTTCTGGTAGAAACGGAAACCCCCCAGGAAACTGGTCATCAGACCACGTTACTCAGAACCGGTTGCCCTTTGAAAGCCACACTACACTCTAGGCTGCTTCTGTGGACAAGTACCAAGGTCAGAAGTCAAAAGGCTGTGATGGCATGCAGAGGTGCAGACGCAGAGCCACAGCCTAAAAGGTCACCGCCATGCAGCCTCCTCTGATGCTGCCGAGCTCCTCCCCGGGACTCAGGGACTCAGACGGCTTGGCTGCCAAATGGAATAGAAGCCAACGCCATCACCCTCACAGCCTGGTTCTGCTTATGCACAAATCAAGGACTTCTGCTCTTCTTGTATTTTACCTTTGATGGCATCCTTGCTACATTTCAAAACAAATGAAACCTGTCTATGCTGTGATTTGAAATGATATGTCTTTTTATTTCTCTAAAAAATATAAATGAAGATATATGAAGAAAAAAAATTAAGAAAAAATCAGAGTAATATAAAATGTAAGACTCTGGTAAAAGCTGTGTGAATGGAGCCTACCTTTTCTTTCTAAAAGAGTTTACAGAAATTATACCTACCAGCATAGATGCAGAATCTCTGCAGAGTAACAGCGTTAGAAGCAGCAACGTAAAGAAGACGCATCCCAAATAAGTTATTTCGGGGAGATGTTATAGATCATCTCATTGCTACAGGTGACTTGGTTACTTAGGATAAAATTTATATATTCAAGTGTTCCCACATCCTGTCCTGATGAGCAGAACAATATCTTTCAAGTCTATGGCTCTGGGTCCCACCCAAAGCTGCTTAACTATGCTCTCTCAGGCAAAGAGGGAAAAATGGATTTTAAAGAAACATTTTGGAGAAAAGCACTTTGGGTAACTCATGGTGGTCAGACATTGAAGTATAAGGAAGGAAAGAAAAAAGCAAGAAGAGTTAAGCTCAGCACCCCTGCCTTTTGAAGTTTCCCTTAACATTTTTACTCATTTTCTTCAATAAAAGTAAGGGTTCTACGCTGTGGGGAGAGTGGTGGTGGTTATAGGTTATAATGAATAATATAAGAAGAAGCAAAAAATGGTTCAAGAAAGAGGCAAGGAATGGAGTTGTCATGCCCAGAAAAATAACACGAAACTCTGTCGGAGCCTGAGTTACTAAGTAGAACAATTCGGACCCCAGGGTTCTCCTAGGAAAGGAAAACCTCCCAGGTCCACGTCCTTCGCGGTTCTACTCACGCTCTTGATGTCAGCCCCTCGCAGGGTGATCTGCGTTTGCCTCCAGCCGTGGCCACCGTTTCTTCCCCACAGGGCTGCTCCGTGGGCCCCCTGTCTCCTCACAAACACCTGGAGCGTGCCGGAGTGCAGCCCGGTGACCCTGTGCCGGAAGGACAGGCACAGGTCCCCGGAATGCATGAGGTGGCCCAGAGGCAGCACCAGGCGAGCGGCCTTTCCCCCGGGGCTCTTGGCTGCGGAGACCGCCAGGTACTGTCCGCCTGCAACGGGAAAGCAGGGCCGTGTGTGAACGTGTGGCATCCCTCTCCAGCACAGACAGTAAGGCCAGTTTTCATTCACTTCAAAGTCATTGGTAAAGAATCCCAGGTTATTGCAGGAGAAAGCGATGACCTATTTCTACGCCTGCCTCAGATCCCATGGTTTTGTGTTTACAGAAAACACTCGCCTGTTGTGCCCACGGGGAGGACACGTTATGCCAAGGACACACAAGGATCAAGAATCCCAACGCTGTGACCACTTCCAGTGGAATAGGATCAGACGCACACAGGCGTGCACAAACACACACATTTTCACCACCTCCTGGTCCTCCTCGGGTTATGATTATGTTGTCAAGCTGGCTGGCCGATTAGGTGGTTGACGCAAGTTCCCAGGGAGAATTTTTCTACATGGATAATTAACCCCTGGGCAGTAGAGCAGATGTGGTTTAAAAGGGCATTAAATCTGTTTATTATATCTTCTCCCTGTTTGTATTAACTCTAGAGAGAAAACAGCCCTTGGACAATGCCAGAGCTTGCCCTGGCCAGTGTGGCTCAGTGGGTTGAGCATTATCCTGTGCACCAAGAGGTCGCCGGTTTGATTCCCAGTCAGGGCACATGCCCAGGGTTGCGGGCTTGATCTCTTCAGGGTGGCTGTGCAGGAGGCAGTGGGCCAATGTTTCTCTGTCTCACTGATGTTTCTTTTTCTCCCTCTCCTTTCCTCTCTAAAATCAATCCTATATAATAAAAGGCTAATATGCAAATAGACTGAATGGCAGAATAACTGGTCGCTATGACATGCACTTTGGGGGGCAGATGCTCAATACAGGAGCTGCCCCCGAGTGGTCAATGTGCTCCGAAGCCAGGCTCACAGCTGGCGAGCGCAGCGGTGGTGGAACGAGCCTCTCTTGCCTCCACAGTAGTGCTAAGGATGTCTGACTGATGGCTTAGGCCTGTTCCCTGTAGCCGTCAGCCAGACACCCCCCAAGGGCCCCCAGACTGTGAAACAGCACAGGCAAGGCTGAGGGACCACCCCCCCCCCCCGACTCTAGTGCATGAATTTTGTGCACTGGGCCTCTAATAAAAACATATTTAAAACTAAACCTAAACTAAACAAAACGACAACAAAAAGCCAGAGCTTGCTATGCTTCTCACACTGGAGTGCAGCTCACCCCACGAAGATGCAGAGATGTTCTGGAAACCCTCCACTTCCTGGAACATCAGCTTTATTTAAAGATAAGTGTGTTCTATAATAACAAATATATAATAAATACAATGTAACAAATACAGTTATTATTACATATACATGAACACAAAGTGTTAATAAAAGCTGTCACTTTGGGTGGACACTTTGTCCTCAGATCCCTGGGGCGTAGAGAGTGCCTCCCCATGATTTAGAGGGATTGCAATTAGGGGGAAAGTTTGAGCAGCAGCAAGTCGGAGGGAAAACTGCTTCTCACAAGAGGGAAAGTTACAAGTCGTATTTGAAGCTCCATCCAAGTACAGATGACATCCCTCTCAGGCTGTTTAACTGGAGCCAACTGAACACACACTGCGTTTCAGCACGGATTTACCACAGGAAACAGCGGTGTGAATGCAGAACACATGTGTATACTTTGGTTGAAACCCCACTTATTTTTCAATGAAAAGACAACCACTTATTTTGATGCTTAATCTGTATCAGATGCTGAAGTTTGGGGTGTCCTCCTATTTGTCAAGTGACGGTTCCTCTCCCACGTGCTCTCTGAGCAGTGGGGGGACCAGCAGGTGGTGTCTGGGCCTGTGTTCTGTACCAGGCTGTGCTGAGTGCTCCTGGGGCATCTCATGAACCCTGAAGGCTGGCTTTACAGATGCAGAGCTAGGGCTCTGAGATGAGGTCCCCCAAGGTGTCACCCAGTGAGGGGCAGAGTGAAGGTTTGAGTTCAGAACTGTCTGACCCCGTATCCAGCATGTGCTGCCCTCAGGTTGGATCACTGGCGTGCCTGCTTCTCTCCCCCAGGAGATGGCAGAACCCATCGTTGCATCCCTAGCACATGGCAGGAGTGTCATGCCATCTGTTGAATAAATGATGTTCTAAAAAGATGGAAGGAAAAAACCTGCAAAGAAATGGGTCCTTGAATCATATACTTGACTCACCAACAACAAACACAGTTTCTTATCCTCCGTCCACCCCTTCTTCCCCCATTAATCCAAATGGTACTTTAGGCCAAAATGTTTAGATGGATTTTAAATGTCTCCCCATAAGTCAGCTTTTGAATCGTCCCAAGTATGTTGCTTTAAGACTAAGATATAAGGTTATTACAGTTAAATCTGCAAGTTTTAAGAAAACAAGGATTACCTTAAGTCTCTGTGGAATGTATACTAACATGACTGCCAGACATTGCCTGCGAATAAGACAACCTAACAAACCAAGGCTGCCAAGTAAGAGTTGAATAATCTTTTTTAGAGGCACATAACACCCTATCGCGTTAAATATGAGCAGAGGCTACCGTTGCTCTCCCTCCCTGGAGCTGCTTTGTGAACATGTTTGCAATGCTATAACTTGTTTGTTTGTTTTTTTCCGTAAATATATCAGCCATTTTTCTATGACAAATACAAACATTTTTCATCACCGTATGTCATTAATAATCTAGCCGGTTTTTTACTGAAGAACATTTATGTTGTTTCCAGATTTTCACACTTAAGATAATACTATAAAGTAGTAAGACAAGCAAAAAAAAATAAATTGGCAACACATGAAATAGGACTAAGATTCCTTTTCACATAAAGAGCTTAAAAATCAGTAATAAAAAGGACACAAAAGAAAAAGAAAAAGCATCTCATAAAAAAAGACTTTTAAAATGTAAAAAAAAAAAAAAAAAGGTCAGCTTTTCACAATAATATAAATTAACATTCAAATGAGATGACTTTCTACCGATAAGCTTGGAAAAGGTTTTAAAAAGTAGTTTAATAAGATTTGTGTTGGGGGTGGTTCTTAAATATTGTTTGGGGGGTGGGGAGTATAAATTGCTATAACCCGAATGAAGGACAAATCAGTAAAAAATCTATCAAAATTCAAAATGCAAGTTCCCTTTGATTTGGCACTCCCCATCTAGGATAAGGTGTATTCAAACACATCTGAAATGATGTGTGTATAAGGATTTCACTGCAGTATTGTCTGAAAAACCGGAAGACTGGAAACAAAGGAAATGTTCCTCAGTGGGAACATTTCAAAGGAAATGTTCCTTAAACACCTGTAACTGTCATTAGTAAGAATGAGGGTGTTCTGTATTTTCTGATATAGGACAATCTTCAACAACAGTGGCTGACACTATTTTAATAGCAACGCGGGGACAGGCACTGCTTTCAATACGTTGAATAGATGCTATTGATTATCCCCAGTTCAGTACCGTGCTCAAGGTCAGAGCTAGTAAGCTGTGGAACTGGGCTTCAGCCCAGGCATCCTGTCTTTCAAATCCTTGTTCTTCACGTCACTCTTAGCATAATATCCTTAAGTAACAAAAGCAATTTACGCCAAGAGGGAGCTTTGTGGTTGTGTGGACAACTTTATCTCTGGGAAGATAACCAAGAAACTGGTTGTACCTGGAAGGGTAACTGAGAGCCAGGGCTGGAAGGCGGCTGTGTCTTCACTGTGGATTTATTTTTCCGTTTACAGTATTTCAAAATAATGCTTTTTAACGCTGCACCAGACATGCTTGTACGTACACGCTGGCATGCTTGTTATTTATTTAAGTGAATTCCTTGCAGCTAGGGCACTGAGTCAGCTGCCTTTAACCCTTGATCCCCAGTGATCAGGGTTCCAGAAAAAGGGCCTTAGGTGCAGCCTTGAAGTCTAGGGAAAAGGGTGTGTCTTCAGGGCCACGGCTACATGCCTGCTGTGAATCACCACATCTGTTGACAGCACAACTTTCCATTCCTTAGAGCAGTGGTCCTAACGTGGGGACAATTTGATTTTTAAGGGGGGGGGGGCAATTCAAGAATGAGTTATTAACAGTGAATTTTTTGCATTTCTTATGGTTTAGGGCAGTGGTCGGCAAACTCATTAGTTAACAGAGCCAAATATCAACAGTACAACGATTGAAACTTCTTTTGAGAGCCAAATTTTTTAAACTTCTTTAATGCCACTTCTTCAAAATACGACTCGCCCAGGCCATGGTATTTTGTGGAAGAGCCACACTCAAGGGGCCAAAGAGCCGCATGTGGCTCGCAAGCTGCAGTTTGCCAACCATAAGTTTAGGGGTCTCATATATAGTATATCTATATATATAAAAGCCTAAATGATTGCCTGCTGGTAGCCATGATGAAGACTGACCACCAGGGGGCAGACGCTCAACCAAGGTACAAAAACCACAGGCATGGAGACATGGAACAGACTGATGAGTCTCAGAGGGAAGCAGGGAAAGGGAAGGGTGGGAAGAGATTAACCGAAGATCTTACATGCATATTAGAGACCCAGTGGGATCCCTTGGCCTGGCCTGCGGGATCGGGCTGAAACTGGCTCTCCACCATCCCCTAAGGGGTCTTGGATGACAAAAGGGTGCAGGCCAGGTCAAAGGACTCCACTGGTACACAAATCCATGCACTGGGCCTCTAGTAAATATATATTGTGACATATTTATGAATTTCGGTTCTCTTTATATGTTTTAAATTTTATTTGCTATTTTTTCCTATCACTTCATATTATTTTTTTTTTAACAAGTTCTTAGTGATTTCTTCCTCAGTACTTCAACTATTCTTTTATTTTTCTCTTTCATGGATGCCATGTTCTTTGGAAGCTTGTTTAGACCAAGTTAAAGAACTTTTAGGCTTCTTCCATGTGAATAGGACTTTATTTTTTGAATAATCAGAATTATATGTCGGGGGGTGTAATTAGGATTTTAGAGATGTGTAGGTGGGGCATGGCCAAGAAAAGGTTAGGAACCACTGCTTTAGAGGAATGTGTTAATTTCACTATCTCTTAATTAAGTTTAAGATTGAATGTGATAAACACAATTCAATGAGCTCAAGGGAGGGCAGCTAGCAAATGCAATTTTTTTTTACAACTGTTTCTCAAAGTTGTAAATTTATTTGAGAATTTTCTTTTCTTGGAGATATTAGCATAAAAGAATATTTGCATTTCTGGGTCTTGGATAAGAAATGCATATTTAAATCAGTCCTAACTGTGGAAATCCAAACATATGTTCCTTTTTAAATGGTATAATCTAGATAGAAACAATTTAGAAACAGCTAGCTTGGTAATTAGAGAATTCACGGATAGAATTCATTAAATTGCTTATATTTATATGCATACAACCTCACCTAAACATCCTAGAAGAAAAAGAGCATTCTTCATTAAGAAGCTTAAATAGTATTTCTCCCTCAGTATTTGGTTAGAATTCCCCACCACAGTATAAAAACCCCATCTGCAATGCCACCTTGATTTATGCTAACCCTCTTCCAACCCTCTGCCCTCCTTTGGTCTCCTGTCCATTTTCCAAGCTGGAGCCCTGCTGCTCACTGCTCTCCTGGGTTACCTGGGAATTCCATTCTCAGTCAAAGGCTCTCAGAGCTGGAGTAAGAGGCTTTCTAACCCAATGCTTATCCAGAGTTCAAAACATCTTGCCATACGTTACCACCGACAGAGAGCTCCTTACTTAACAGCCTGAGCTCTTTTTAAACAGCCCTGACTATGGGGAAGTTCTGTAGAGAGTGAGCCAAAGGCCATCTCTCTGTAGTTCTCACCTACTAATCTGACTTCCATCCCTTTGTGGTCACAGAGCAATGGTGATGGCCATTGTCAGTCAAGTACAAAGGCAGCCCTGTTCCACAATTTCTTCTCCAGGCTGAACACTCTGGCCCCTTCCCCTGCTCTTGCATAGGCTTTGGGGCCCTGCCCGCCCAGGTCTTTCTGAATTACTGACACTTATCTCTATTCTTCTCAGACCAGAAAGAACCCACCAAAATGGATTTTTCATTCTGAAAACACACACACACACACACACACACAAAAAAAAAAAAAAAAAAACCATATTTCTTGGGAAATGACCCAACTTTTTGGCAATAAAAACACAGAGTTCAGTGCTCGCATATAGTATATGGCAGCACATATACTAAAGTTGAAACGATATAGAGAAGATCAGCATGGCCCCTTCACAAGAATGACACACAAATCTGTGAAGCATTCTATATTAAACACACACACACACACACACACACACACACACACGCACGCAGGGTTCACTCATTGATTTCATCACCCCCTAAAATTCTAAAGTCTTGCACACTTACTGCTAAGGCACTTCTTCCCCTCCCACAGCTTCATCACTGGTTTCTAGACCATGAGCCCTGCCTTGTGTTCAGCCCCATTAGATTTTACCCTCTTAAATGAGACCCGCGGGTCTAATGTTTTGGAGCTGGTGTGTCAGCACAGCTCCACACTTTCTCCTTTGGCTGCACACCATCCAGTTTGGGAAGTATGCCTTCAATATCCAAATCCAACTGCCAGTTTATCCATGTCATTGGTAAAACCCTGGAGCAGCCCCAGGAGATCACACACACTTCCACCAAAGCCACCCAGGCACACCCGGCAGCCACCACTGACTGCCTTTCCATTGGTTCTGTGCTATCACAGCCAAATCGCCATTTTCAACTTTTTTTTTTGCCTGCCATTTTATTTTCCAATCCTCTTCTCATTTTTCTATCAGAGGGCAAGTGGAATTTGGGTCACAACAAGGTTAAACATTTACCCATGAGATGAATAATAAAAAAATGTTGGAAAGTACTAAACTGGTTCTATAATATGGTATTGAAATTCCAAAAATCAAGTCTTTTACTATCTACATAGTCTATCTACGTAGATGTACAAGGAATTCTTTTGATTTTATTTAGCATAAACTACGCTCTCCAGTGCACTTTACTTGAAAGGGTGATTCATTATGACCATGAACATGCATGGCTGCTAACGATCCTTCCTTTGGTAGCAAACGACTTCGGGTCAGCGGTTGGTTGAATCCACAGGCCTGAGATCTGCTCATGGACCATGTGTACTGCCATAGGAGTCAGAGGCCAGTCTGGCAGGGGGGAATGGAGACCGCCGAACACTACTAGCCTTTCTGGACACTGAACTGCCTCAGAGGCTGCGTGGGGAGCACAGGTCTGGATGTGAAGTCTGTTCTTTTGCTCCATGGACTTAGGAAATATATGCACACACTGGGCCTCAGTATTTTCTTTGTGAAATAAAAACAATATTTAACCTGCTTCACAGGGTGGATAAAAGGATATTAAACAAAATTAATGAAATGATGAATGGCTCAAGACTGTGATAGGTATTAACTAAACGTTGATTTCTTTCTAATTCACAGATATATGTGACATTAATAAGGCTAATGTTGTCCTAATAGTCATAGGGATGTGAGGTACAGCATAGGGAATACAGTCAGTAATATTATAATAACTACTAGTATGTATAGTGGCAGGTGGATACTTGAATTATCAGGGTGATCACTTTGTAAATTATGTAACTGTCTACCATGGCGCTATAGCCTGAAACTAATGTAAAATAATATTTGGAAACTGTAATTAAAAAGTAACATTAAAATGTATAATGATATTGTCCTGCTCACAGTTAACCTTCAATGAATGGGAGAGCTAACAGGAGAGTGAGAGGGACTGTGTGTGAATGCATGCACTTAATGAAAATAATAGCTAAAAGAAATCTAAAAACCCATTTGATTTATAAGCCTATTTTTAAAAGCTTGCCTTGAATTTTCGTTGTTTAATATTTGACTAGTATTTTAACCTTAGGGGATTTAATGAAATATTTTAGATTAATATGTTAATACCTTTCTACTCATGATGTGCATCAAGGATTAGCGCCAGAGGTATTCCCAAGGAACTTGTTAGAAAGGCATCAAAATCTACATTTTTCACAAGGCCCCTAGCTGATCTGTACAATTGCTGAAGTTTGAGAATAACTGGTTTAACAGAGCATATCCTCTCTCAAGTTAACTTTTGTGTGTTTTTGGTTCTTCTATATAATACTTGGGATGGTATTTAACCACTAGGCTTTTAATTAACAACATCCTTTTTAGTTAACAATATACTTTTTTTTTCACATATTGTCCCTTTCATTTCTAAATCTAGAATCAGAAATATAAAAAGAAGGTAATCACTTTGTAAATTATGTAATTGAACTCATCCTTTCATTAAGTTGACATCATCCATAAAAGATTCAATTACTGAGGGGAGGGAAAAAAACCAACGATATGTACCTTTGCTTCCTGGAATAAGACAACAAAACATCTTGCAAGTACTAAAACTTTAGATTAGTAGGAAGTGTGCAACTTAAAAGCCTATTAATTTTTCCAAGAAACTATGTCTAAATCCACCTTACTATAAGAACATTCTTTAGCGGAATAAATAATGGTAATTATAACTAATTTCTCCAGCATCTAAGTTAGACTGACATTTTTTTTCAGAGAGGTATTCACAACTTCACAGAAATTTCAGGTTCCATCCAAGATATGTGTCAGATCTTAAAAAAGTGGAAAACTGCATGGCTGATATACTTCTTTCATGCTTGGGAATGGGGCACGACAAGTAAATTGAAAGTTATAAGTTAGAATAAGCCCACATGTTTTATTTACCAAGCCTTTTAATGAACTCCTCGCCTCCCCATAATATAACTCTAGTTGACAGCTAGCAAATGAGCTATGACTGCTGGACAAAATCTCTCTCTCCCTCTTAGGGATGTGTTACAGTGCCCTTGACAGCAGAACTGGCCTTCCAAGAGGATCAACGTGAAATGGGTTCTAGAGCTAGACTGGCCTTACCTGCTGGATCCCTCACTGGTTCCCAGTGCAAGTCACTGTCTTTCTCCCTGATCCATCCACAAAGCCCATGGTCAAAACTGCAGCTATGTATCAGGACACCTGCAAGGAAATGACCAGAAAGACGAGTAATCCACAACGCACAATAGAAACACACTTGTTAACAAGGCTATCGGGACAAGCCTTGTTATCTGCACTTCACTAACCCCCCAGAACTTCTCTCCAGATCAAAAGGGAATCACATGAATCCCTTCTCAGCACAATTGTGCCTGTGTGCTCAGCTATAAAAACTGATGTTGCCAATTATGACCTTTTACATCGTTTAAAAACATGATTTCCTCCTCATAATTTATATTAAATGCTAAATATATATATATATATATATATATATATATATATACACACACACACACATGTATACAAACACACACACACATATATACACTGAGTGGCCAGATTATTATGATCTCTGAATGCCTAATAATCCAGCCACTCAGTATATATCCTATATAATAAAAGGCTAATATGCAAATTATCCCCTCGACCAGAAGTTCACCAGCAGGCAGGCCAGCCAACCACCAAGTCCCCTCCCCCTGGCCAAGTTGGCTGGACCCCACCCATGCATGAATTCATGCACTGGGTCTCTAACACACACACACACACACACACACACACACACACACACACACTGCTGAGTGGTCAGATTATTGTACGTTCAGAGATCATAATAATCTGGCCACTCAGCAGTGTGTGTGTGTGTGTGTATGTGTGTGTGTGTAATTTTAAAAAAAGATGATAATGACTTGTCCTAGACAGTTTGGCTCAGTGGATAAAACATTGGCCCACAGACTGAAGGGTTCTGGGTTGGATTCCAGTTAAGAGCATGCACTTTGGTTGCAGGCTCAATCCCTGATCCTGGTCAGGGCATGTGCAGGAGGCAACCAATCGATGTTTGTCTCTGCCTGTCTCTCCCCCTCCGTTAGACTCTCTAAAAAAATCAATAGCAAAATGTTCTAGGGTGAGGATTAACAAAAACAAAACAAAAAAATGATGACTCAATTACTTGTGCCCAACTGATATTTCAGCAGAGGAAACCAAGTTGAAAAAAAAAAAAAAGGATCTATAATTTTCCTAGGTGTAACAGTCTATAATTTAAAAATTATTTTCATGAAATGGAGGAAAACAATAAAATGTCATTATAATGGTAGTGATATAATATAAGTGTCTTGGGGTGGTAAATACACCATACAATATACAGGTGATATATTGTAGAATTGTATACCTGAAACCTATATAATTTTATTAACCAATGTCAGCCCAATAAATTCAATTTTAAATAAAATAAGTATCTACCTGGATCATCCTTTGCTTCATCATCTGCACTGACTCCTCTTTCAATTTCAAATATTTCAAACAAATCATTTGAAGGGTGCCGTGGAACTGTAAGAGAGAGAGAGAGAAAGAGAGAGGTTTTGATAAAAGGGCAATGACTTTAACAAAAGGCAGGGGAGAAAAACTCATCTGGAAGGACCCAAAACTTTTCATTATACTCCACGAGAAGATTCAGGAAGTTGGTTCCACAGTGATGTGTACTGTAACATTTACCTGTGTGCAAATAAAAACTGGTTTTCACAAGTTTTTAAATTTCAACACAAAAACACACTCAAAGGTTTTCATCTGGAAAAAAACATTTTACTAGTAAAAGAGCTACTAATTTTGAGTAAAATATTCATCTACATGAAATTCAAAATTGTGTCTCTATAAAAGAATCACTGTGAATCCCAGCTTGAGGATGTTTTGATGGACATGCCTGCCAGTGGGGGGAGTGGTTTGGTTTTCTAACCACAGTGCCCACTCCCTTCCATGAGCTCTGCACACTGGTGCCAGCTCATCTGGATTTCTTACCAGGGCCCTGGCTCCTTTAAGACAAAATCCAAAGGCCTTGGTGCAGCACTCACAGCTCCTTCTTCCCCCCACCCTGCCCCACCCCACAGTGCCCAAACATGCCATTCATTTTCAGTCTCTGACTGTCCCCAGCTTGGGAGGCTCTTCCTGCTAATTAACCTGCCACTCTTCCTTCTTCCTTCATCGCCCAGTGTAAATATCTTCCTTCATTGCCCAGTGTAAATACCACTGCCTGGGTGCAAACTTTCATGCCCCGGACAAATTAATCCCCTCTCCCAGCTCCCGCCCTCCTGTAGTTCAGACTCCTCTTTCTACACCTCTATTCCATTTTTTATAGACTTGCAGTTATTTACACACACGTGTGTGTCTGTCCCTCTGCTAATCTCTGAGGTCCTGGAGGACATCAATCACGGCTTATTCATGCGGCATTTCCAGGGCCTGACCTGTGACGGGCACTCAGTAAGTGTTTACTGACCAAATGGGAAGATCTTGTCAAGAAACCCATGCACTCTTCCTCCCTGAAACAAGTGGGACCAGAGCTTAATTCCCACTTTTAAAAACATGGATTCATTTAAATAATTAGTTGTTTGTTTTACGGGTGTTTGATTATCACCCATATGCCAAGCGCTGTGGGAGGCTGAGCAGACAGGGAGAAAGGGCTGAGCCACTTCAACAAGGACCTGGCCCTCATGAGCCTGCACTCGAATAAGAGAGGCAGACAAACCGGAAGACCAAGGAATACCACCATTCTCAGCGCTGAAAGGGGCCAGGAAGGAAAACACCCGATGATGTCATGGAGAGTGACAGGTGGGAATGGGGGTGTGGGAATGGGGGTGGTGCTGGAGGGGAATTCTTGACCACAGACCAGAGAATACTCCCTTTTCTTTGACAGAATTTAAATTAATTAGCCCTATTTTTATAAGGCAGGGAGTGAAAGATGTAGAACACCAGGGAACACACATTAGTCAAAAGGGCTCTTTTTTGAAAATGTTCCTATTATTTTTAGCAACAATTTCAAAAATTAATAATCTCATAATATATACACTGATTTTCTAAAAGTTTATTGCTTTGATTTTTTTCCTCTGTTTGTTTCAAAATCCAGACAGTAAATCGCCCTCACCTTCTGCCTCACACACTCACATATAATATAAGCAGCCCGTGAAGAATAAAGAAGAGAAGCTAGCTCACAGACAAGCTCTAGGGACACGACCCGATCACCTATCACCGGTGCTCTGGGGTGTGGCAAATGCCCACCCTCTTGTACACCCAGATGACTGACAGCAATGTCATCCAATTATAGTGCTCCTTTCCTTGTGGAGGCTCTGAGAAGGAGACTGTTCACTAGAAATACTACAGAGTTGTAGGCAATCACAATTCATTTCTCATGACATAGAAAGTTAGAACCATCATTTCTTTGTTCCCTTAATCTTGTTGTAACTTATACAAATTATCTCTGGATTGGAATAGCTCCAATCTTAAGGTACCATATTTTAGGGGCATTCTGAAGGTTTGTCAGCTCCCTTTTTTCCAGATGAAGGACTGTCAGATGGCAAGAAGTCTAGGTGTATGGGGAGGACCACTCCAAGGTGCCCTGGTGCAGGAGGACTGCTTTACGAAGGGGGATGAAGGAGGTCCTCTCTGAGGAAGCACCATTGGCATGGGGAGAGGAGGAACATGGAACCTTCCAAACAAAGTGCTGGAGTAGGAGAAGAGTGAGCATTTCAGGCTTCAAGTACAAAAAAAAAAAAAAAAAAAAAAAAAAGGCACTGAGAATAGTTGGAGATAGGTGTTCTCAGTGGCTAGAGGATGCTGGGAGACAGAGAAAGCAGCCTGGGATGAGGCAGAAGAGAAAGGAAAGGAACAGATCACACACTTGGAAAACAGCAACCCAGAGAATTAGTCATCCAACAACTTGCTCCATGTCAGATGGTTCATTTGTATCTTCAGCACTGGGTTTCCAAGAGCTATTCAATTCAGCAGTGGCTGATCACACACACCTTTATTTTCATTCACTGGGAAATGTTCCAAGGAATGTAGAGGCCTGAGGTGCTCAGCAGCTATTAGTCCTTACAATGGCGAGAGCTCTGCTCTGTAACTCTGCTACAGTATTTACTCTCCTTTCTCACACACCGCAGTCTCCACTGCTAAGGGCGTCCCCCAGCTGTGCCAAGAGAAGGTACACTACCCATTCCCTGGAACAGTTTACCGTTTCTGCGAAAATACTAAGTGAAACAAGCAGTGAGGGGGAAAATCAAGCAGTATGATTTTAACTATGGTCAAGAGAAATGAGTGAACAAACCAAAAATTTGGACTAGAAAAAAAATGGTAAAAAATACACCCATATGCTAATCGTAGTGGTCTGATTATTTTTTCTCATTTGTTGGTTTGCAATTCTAAATCTTTAAGGTTGCTTATAAAATGAATTTCTATTATGAAAAAAACTTACCTAAAACATTGAAAGAAAGGAGACTTCTATCAGAACACATACAGGCCCGACCCCATGGCAACTGTGTCTGTTACTTGTGTTTTGTCTGCTCAGAGGACTCTGAACAAAATCTTCATACCTGTTGTTAAGTATGAGGGTATGAAATTGAAATGTACTTGTGTAATTTAAATATATTCTTTGATATAGAGAGCTAGTGTAATCACTGCAGAAAAATGTTTATTAAAATAAATGACTAGCCATGCCCCAAAACACAAAGAATAACCAAGAGAGATGCTAATACATGATCTTCCTAATTATCCTTCCCTGCATCATATTAAATATATATATAAACAAATATCAACTATTCTCTGTAGCTGAACCACTAATTCTCAAAATCAGAACCTTATGATTTTAGAGATAGAAAAGGATCAGAGAAATCTAACAATACCATTCCTCTAGCATCTTTTCATCCATCCTCCCCCACCCTATTCCATCCACATGCTAATGAAATCAATTAAGGAAGTGAGCATCCACTGAGCGCCCTTCCCTCTCCCCCCATCAGTGCTGGGCAAAGAGCTTGTTGTGAAGCAAAGAGCTTTTGCCTTCAGAGGATCTAAGGTCCAGATGTGAAGACAGACTCCTAACAATTTCCCCAGGTAATGAGTTCTTTAAAAGTGAGGTAGAGGAAGCTCTGTGAGCCTGGGGGTGGAAGGAGAGAATGAGGCGAAAGGGGGGGCTAGCAGGAGGAGGACGGGTGAGTGAAAACCTCCCTCTGAGAGGTGATGCCTATACCAGGGCATGAAGGATGAGTTCCTGGGAGCTGGCACCCTAATGAATGAAGGGGTGTGGGGCTGAATGCTCATTAGAGCTGGAGAGCTCACAGGGGAAGAAGGGTGCCACATGAATGAAGCTGGGGATGCAGGCAGACCATGCAAGGCCTTTAAAAGTTCCGTAAAGATTTGGGACTATATTCTGGTGGAAACCTGGAGCCTCTGGAAGACGTTTACACAGGAGTGCCAAAGTGAAGTCCACCCTTCTGGCTGCAGCATGTGGAACAAACAGGGAGGGGGAGGGGATGTCAGAGGGCAGTTAAGACCAACATTAACTAAAGAATTCATCTTGAAAACATTTCCTCAACATTCTCCTCCCAAAATAGGTTTCACCTACTCAAAATACCCCATGCCTGTTGCTTCTTACAACCTTCTGTCTGAACTAAAAGACAGGAGGTGCCAGGCATGGGAGGGAGAAGCCAGGTGGATAAAGACCTGGTGGGACTGGGTTGAGGGGTCTAGGATGTTTCCCTAATGTCTGGGGAGCCCCGTGGCTGAAAGGATCAACCACACAAATCATCAGGAAACTTCCTGAAGAGAAAGTCTGACCCACTGTTTTCTATTAAACTTATTTTCCCCAGGAATATGATAATTTTAAGATATAATCTGAGTTCATAAATGAGGTCTTCCACATAGTCAATTGTATATTTTACCCAAAAAGCACTAAGAGTAAGCACAGTGGCCAAAACCAGTTTGGCTCAGTGGTAGAGCGTCAGCCTGCGGACTGAAAGGTACCAGGTTCGATTCCGGTCAAGGGCATGTACCTTGGTTGCGGGCACATCCCTGGTAGGGGGTGTGCAAGAGGCAGCTGGTCGATGTTTCTCTCTCATCGATGTTTCTAGCTTTCTATCCCTCTCTCCTCCTCTCTGTAAAAAATCAATAAAATATATTTTTTTTAAAAAGAGTAAGCACAGTGGAGTAAGTGTGAATATTATCATACACACCTCCTCCCATGGCCAGCTCTCTCCCAAAGTGTAACTACAACAAAGTGTAAACCATAGCTAGTAAAGGTAGGTTTGCAAATTCTGTTTAGTGCTTGGGTGGCTCCCCTGACATGACCCAGGCCGGTTCTGGCATTTTTTGTTGAACTAAAAGGATCGAGATAACAATGTCTGAAATTCTACCCTTGTAGGTTTGGTTCATTGAAGGAGAATGGCACACATGGAATTTTCCTAATGTTCTGAAGGCTTGTTCTGGTGGCAAAAACTGGGGGTTTCTAGAGACTACAGTATGGGGTGAATGCCAAGGATTTTATAAGGCAGCGTCCTCTCCCCTCTCCT